TTTTCTATGCTACGTACTTGTAAGACAGAGACAACACTTGTGGGTGTAGYGTCTTTTTTAATGAAGAAATAACAACCTGTCTCCAGTATAATATTTTATTCGCTTTTTTTCACCACTGTGGTTCCAAGAATTCCTTGGTATTTCTTTACGCCTTAGACCGACGGTATCTTCAATAAACTAATATCAAATCAATTCAATCATTCTCAGATTTATTCCGCATTTAATAAAAAGATAGAATACGAGTTTTCTAGAAACTGATTAAATAAAATGTTTGATTGGGGTTTGAACTACTGGTCTAAAAAAAAATCGTGAAAATTWTAAAATCTGTAGACATACAAACGGATAATAATTATATTATATATTAAATTATTGAATGCAGTCTGGTAGTCTCRTACATTTTAAAATACCTTAATGCAATTCAAAGATATTATTGATACAATGATACCAATTTTAATACAATTTTTATCTTTTTTTTTTAAAAATTATTTTTAAATAGATAGGTAGTTGTAAACAAGTAATAAATGTTAATATCAATATTAAACCCCTAAATTTTCTAAATTTTCTCTGTCCAATAAAGGAGAAATTACATTTGTTTTCTAAAAACTAAATCATAGTGAACAACTGAAAAAGTGTTCAAGAAACAGACTCGCATAACTAATTGATTTGTAACTACCTACCTACATATATATATATATTATTGTGTCTAGACTCTAGAGTTGACGACTAGACATATTTACGCATGGCCGCATGGGCACTCTTGAAAACTTAAAAAAGGGACTGAAATGTATAATACCTACCTATATTTGATTTTAGTCTGAACATTATTTTTGATACAATCACATATTTTGTACTTGTATATTATATAACCATTAACCATGTTTCATAAATTATAGATTTTTCCAATATACAATAATGTAAATTCACAATATTATTCAGATGGCTACAAAATCGTTTGATTTATTCATAATCTGTTAAGAATAATGACCGTAATCAACAATACATATTATTACATACCCATTATGGATTATAGCCTTACACATTTGCGATTATGTGGTTTAACTTACATAGTATATTATAGTTTATAGAGATTTCTACAGAATTGTTGTASTGTATTGTATAAATAAAATATTTAACATTTAATAAACAGTATATTTATGTAAAAAAAATACAGTTACACTTTTATTTAAAAAAAACAAATACCATCAAAACTCTTGGATATTCATACAGTTTAATATGATTTAATCTTCATGTGTACCTGGCTTAATTGC